AATTCACCGCTTGTTATCGCTCCACCAGTGCAGGCACCCATCATCTTGTTGGGTAAATTTCCTATTGCAGGTCAAATGACATTGAGATGAGAGGCACCAGGCTGGGGATGTTAACTGCTTCATGAATGTTGTCATAATTGTTATTCTTGAGCTGTTCAGCGACGGGCCTTAGTTGTTTTGATACGTACATTTATTTTACATTTGGAAGGTTGATACCTTATGCTTACTGCACCTACCAGGTACTGTACTCTCTAACCTGTTCATCGAGCATTAAGCATAATAGTGGATGGGAACTAGGCTAGCTCCTTCAGAAACCTCTACGATGGATAAGAAAAGGGTGCACTCCTTTGTAGTTGCATTTCCGTCTGGACTTCAGAATTGCGTTGACCTCTCTTGATTGAGACATGCGATTTCTGAGAGGAGGGGAAAAGGGGGGGGGCGTCTCGGGTCAATCGCAGGCAGTCAATTTGCGGACAGAGAGAGAGAGAGAGAGAGAGAGACGGGACGACTCCAGGTGTGGACTTGGGGGAGTCGCTGTTAGATCTATCATCTCACTAAGTCGCACTAAAACCAGACTTCTGGAAAGTCGATCATCATTGCCTTACGGGGGGCCAATTTAGCGCGCTTTTTAGCTACACACCTTTTTTACTGTTCCCCGGAGCCCAGGGCTCAGGTCCATCATGGATTCATGGGTCTCCTACCGGTCAATCTGCGGCGGCGGCTCTGGAATGGGGCAATTTGCGGTTTCTCCTTCGCCCTCATCGTCTTTCTATTTTTTAATTTTGGTTTTCTTATTCATCACTTTTCTCTCTCTCTTTTGATGTTCTTCCCCTCCCTCTTGTTAACTGACTCCAACCCTTTTTTATTTCGTCTTCTTTTTTTTTATTCTTTTTTTATTCTTTTTTTTTTTTTATTCTTTTTAATTCTTCTTTTGCTTCTCGGGTTTTCACCCAACTCATCTGGTTTTCCTGCTCGAATTCCCTTTTTTGGTAGACTAGTGTTGTCTGAACAGTAGAAGACTTTGGATCGATGATGACAATTCCAGCTCCGATCTGAATCTGATTCTCTCCCTTCCGACGGTTATATGTGATTTGATGGTCATTTATGGGGATTTCTCCCTCTTCTTTTCTTGTATTTCGTCCTTTTTATCCCCCAATATTGGTCGAAAATGGAGGAGTGGGTTTTTCTTCCCTCCCTTCCATTTTCTTTTTGTTCTGTCAAAAAATGGACCAGCCCATACCGCTTTTACTTGGAAGTACTGTACATGATAGCAGGTAAACCCGGCTTGTTTTCTCTGCTTGCTTGGTGCGTACAGCAGGTTTGTATTGACTACCCAAGCAGAGTGCAGCAGCAACCCTCAGTTCCTGAGTATCGATGTACAGTCGGGTACCGTACGTACGCACCTTGATTGGATTGCGTTTCTTTCTTGCAGCGATTGGTTCCACCCTATCCCAGATTCCGGTTCTTTCCCTCTGAATCTGATTTCTCTGTCATCGGCCTACTCGGAGGACTAAACTAGTTTGTAGTACCCCAGTATCTAAGGTACCGTAGTCTGGTTGCTCGTACCGTCGTGTCAGATGGTTCCGATCCATCTCTCGTTCCCTATCCTTCCGGGTAGCCCACCCGCATCATACTTTAGGAAAAATATGAGAGAGGGAAAAATAAAATAAAATAAAATAAAAATTAAAGCTAAAAGAGCCCGGCATGAAAAAAATAAATAAAAAGATTTTAACAACCTAAGATCGAGCAACCAAGAGGTAAAAAATATCGTCTTTATTAATAATTTAAAGTGGATCCTTCCTATTCCTCAGCTGTTTGCTGTCCGCTTGCAGCTGCATCCTTCTTGTACAGCTGTAACCGAAAAAGGACCTGCCTTTATTGTCCCATACTGACTACTATCCTGAACCGTTGACACCTTTTTAGTCTTTTGCCTGATCACATATCAGTCCTCCGTAGGCTATCCACTTTCAAATACTACATTTAATTGCTCTGCCCGGCCGGCTTCTCCTTTCGACTGAACTCTCTACTTTTTCTCCCTATACTTGACTGCTATCAATCTCCATTCATCTGCTCCCCTTGTTCTCAATCGAGACAAAACGCGCGTTGACACTTGTACTATAGCATCTGGTAGTACATCATTTGCTATATCTATACCTACGCTCCGAACCTAACCTCCTTTGACCTACTGTCCAGACGATCAACTGGATACTCTCCTCAATTGTACTCAATTGAACAACACTGATCCGTCTCTCTGTCTTCACTCCTCGTTACATTGAACAACTTTTTCCAGGAGCCACCAGTTTGTTGAAATCAAACTTTGGCGTCATCGGATTCCCTTGCAGTTACACAGCCTAGCCGTTTCTCGGCTGTTGACCATCAACGAACCCAAAAGGGAGACCAGCAGAAGCAGAGACACGAAAACGAAAGGGAATCTCGCCATTGAATTTGCGACAGGGGGAGGAAATGTTGAGCCCCCTTTGACCAACAGCCTCTCTCCTTTCTTCAGCACAGCGATCTTATCACTATACTATACCCGGCATTCCCTCCCTTCGGTTACAACACCGAAGACACATTCCTTTCCGGCCGTTTGATCTCACTGGCAAGCCTGCTCCTGTTGGATCAAAGGTTTAGCAAGCAGATATAACTCGATCACCCCGTGGCTGTCAAAATTGCACGAACAGTCCATCGAAAGGATGTTTAAACGCCCGTCGTGTTTACAAGGCCGTCGACATGGCGAGCGCAACGATGATTGGTCGGCTTTCCCTGTACGGCAACTCTTCGTGCTAGGTACGTTTCCGACCTTTGGTAATTTTGCTCTTGCTGTTGCTATTTGCTTTTTGCGCCCAAGAGTTGTCGGATAAAAAAAAGAAAGGAAGAGACTGGTATTCAAGGCAAATGCTAGTTCGATTGTCGTTGGATCTTTCTATTCTTTCCTTTGCCCCTCTTTCCCCCCTCTTCTTTCCCCCTTTCTTCCCCCAATTCAGATTCTTCTATTTTATTTTTTCCACTGCCGCGCCTGTTGCGCTCGGGGAGCATCTATTAGAATGGATATCATGACTGACATCTGGATTAGCGCTATGTCGCATCTGCGAGCCAATCGCATTTATGTCCATATTCCCCTATGTCTATCAGATGGTTGAGTCCTTCCACGTGACAGACAATGATCGCAAGATTGCTCTATACGCGGGGATGATCACTTCGTCATTCACATTCGCCGAATTTTCCGCCGGTATGTTTTGGGGTCGCATGAGTGACAGGATTGGCAGGAAACCCGTCTTGGTCATGGGTCTGATTGGAACCGCCATCAGCATGATCGTGTTCGGATTCGCTCCCAACCTGGCGACTGCCATGGTCGCCCGGGCCCTGGGAGGTCTTCTGAATGGTAACATCGGAGTCCTCCAAACGACCGTTGCGGAGATAGTCACAGTCAAAGAGCACCAACCTCGGGCCTATTCTATCATGCCCTTCGTCTGGTGCTTAGGTTCGATCATCGGACCCGCCATGGGTGGTGCGTTGGCACAGCCCTGCGACAATTACCCTTGGCTATTCCAGCGTGGAACCATATTCGACAGTTTCCCATTTCTGCTGCCCAACTTGGTCTGTGTTGTCGTTCTCTCGTCCGGTATCATTGTCGGCTTGTTGTTTTTGGAGGAGACCCATCCCGAAAAGAGAAACCGCCGCGACCCGGGTTTGGAATTAGGCAATTGGCTAGTCAACAAGTTCAAGGGATCCCACGTCAATCTTGCCGAGGAATTGGACGTCAAGGCGGAAACCGCCGGCGATGATTACTTCGTCTACGACGATGTTCCACCCCCAGAATACAGAAGTGCTGAGTCTTCCCCTCGTCTGGGTCCGATGAAAGAATCAGATGATCTCTCTACGGATGACGACATTGAGGGGCAGATGAAAGGGCAGAAGCCCAAGGCTTTCACGAAGCAAGTGATCTTTAACATCATCGCCTATGGGATTCTCGCATAGTGAGTCTTATCCGAGTATCTACTTTTCCACAACAGTCCGGTACTGACATCGTCATCAGCCATAGTGTTTCGTTCGACCAACTCATGCCGGTCTTCCTCAGTACTCCTACATCCACCGATGCCGCTTCGCTTCCTTTGAAGTTTACAGGAGGTCTGGGACTGGCAACCAAGAAGATCGGGTTTATGCTTGCAGTTCAAGGAGTATATTCAATGATCGCGCAGCTTTGGTTGTTTCCCTTCGTTGTTCGTCGTTTCGGCACACTCAGGGTTTTCCGCTTCGTTCTGCTGGTTTGGCCCCCGTTGTACTTCATGGTCCCTTATCTCATCCTTCTGCCGGAGAAGCTCCAGCTGGCTGCGGCCTATCTGGCCCTGATCAGCAAGATCACTCTACATGTCATCGCATTTCCCGCTACGGCAATTCTGCTTGCCAATGCCGCTCCATCTTCCAAGGTGCTTGGTTCCATCAACGGCGCCGCAGCCTCCACTGCCAGTTTGAGCCGCGCGTTTGGCCCGACCATCACCGGATTATTGCACTCAAAAGGTCTCGAGAGCGGATACTCTGTGCTGGCATGGTGGGCTTGCGGCCTTGTCTGCATCATTGGTGCTTTTGAGAGTTTCTGGATGGAAGAGTCTGAGCGAGAGAAGGAGATGGAAAAGAAAACCCAGCCCGATGACATGTCGGAGGATCAAAACGTGTTGCGGGGTTCGTTCACTGTCGGGAAGGAGGACGGCACTCCCGAAGAGGTGCGGAGATTGCTCTCTTCCGCGCGGACAAGCATCGATGAGCTGGATGTTCCCCCTCATGTTGACTCAGCGCAATTACGCGCGCCTGAGTCTTCCAAGTCCGAAGTCGAAGTCTGAAGCCTTCTACGTATCCTGTCTTATCACCGCGATTCTCTGATCTCTCTCCCTTCCCCTTCAATTCTTGAACTCATACGTCATCTTTAACTTCCTCTGTTTCATCTTGTGGATATTGTGTCTGGTGGCTTGTCTTGCCTTTTTTTTTTTTTTTTTTTTTTTTTTTTTTTTTTTTTTACCCTTTGTGCTTTTTTTTAGACCCTGATTCAAGATGGGCGATGGCGCAGTTTATAGACCGGATGCATATGCGACAAAAGCATGAGGGCTGGCGAGTCTGTTTCAAATCTTCTATTGTTGGATTGGTTTCTATTGGCATTATTAGCATGGGCATCGTTGGGCATCTATGACTTCATGCATTGGGGAGGCTGTTTGTGTTTGTCATTTCACATTTGTTTGGTTACTGCGCTTATTATATCCCAACTCTTCAAGAGTCCGATAAGAGAACTCCGTTCCTAGGAAATTGAAGTGGAAATGAGAAACATCTCCACAACACAATCCAAAGATTTCGAGGCAAATCAAAGACAGTTACATTTGCTTCATTTGGTATAATTACGTCTTTCGCTTTAATGTTAATGGTGTAACTTATTTGTCGTTAGTTCCTGTATTCAAATTGGTGAGCGCTACCGCGCTTGCCATAGTGGTTTTTCGCCTTACCCCTCCCTGCCTCAATTTGACCAGGGTTTCATTTCTCGAGGCTCTGGATGTCTGTCCAATGCGACCCTGTCAACCCCTCTCCTTCAGCGGCAAAGTCGGCCAAGCCTCACGCACGTTGATGCAGTAGTCAGTTAGGTTTCTTGGTGAATCGACCAGGCTGTTGCCGTGCATTCACGTCATATGGTAGTGCGGGGCTTGCAGAGAGGGGGATCAGCCGGCCCCGCCTGTAGGGGAACAACTCTATGAATGCCCCTCCTCTCGAGCCCCTCGCTGAGCTGGTTAGGCGCGGGGGAAGTTGGGCCTCTTCGGTGATGCGGGCGGTGGAATCGACCGTCATTGTCAGTTGATTCCCAAGTGAGGTATGCTGAAGCTATTCCGAACTATCTATCACTGGACTGAGTTGGCTCTCTCTCCCAGGCCTTCATAGTGCTTGTTATATTCGCATAATGAACTAGTAATCGAGCCGTGATCGGAATCATATCTTGATGTTTTGCATAGATACTTATCATCATTCTTGTGCTTTAAAGAGAGGGTACTGTTTCGACCAGTCGCTGTTTTCCCTTCAGGGATCAATATCCCATACTAACGAGACAAGAACCCACAGATGATTTTATTTTGTTCACCTCACTTACCACTCAGCAGACTGGAAAAGATGTGTCCCTTATTCTCCCTTTCTTTTTTTCTTTTTTATTTATTTTTATTTATTTTTTCTTCTTGCCACTCTAGGTTCCTATTCAGGTCACAACATAAGCTATACGAGAGGCATGAGATCTATAATAGGACCTGGACCTGTCTTATCAGTAACCAATCAGTCTCCGATTGAATAGTCGAGATCACGTGGCAGGGACTGTACTATACAGTAACTTATTGAGATAATGTGGATCACCTCGGCATCTCTTCACTAACTCGCTTCCTTACGAGCCCCTACTCAACACATATTTATGTCTTCCGTAATTCCAATGGCTACTACAACTTGGAAGAAGCATTCAAGTAAGCACTGAGATTAATCTTCAACTCCCTGACTTAACTATGACAGCTGTGGATAGGACGGCGTGTTAAGTTACTTTACTGTACAGCACCTTTGTCAGCGGAATCCTCGCCCGCAACTCACTTAACCAAGTTAGATTAGCACGAACCAGTGCCTGTGAGAGGGTGGGTGAGTGCTGACATGATTCTTCTCCCGGTCCATACACTCCCGGGACCCAGACTTATCTTCCTCCAGCATCTCCACCAATTTTTGCTATCTTCAACCTCGGTGTGCTTGCCTGCTTATTTTCCTCCCCCTATCTTCGTCCCCGTGCGTGTGTTCACGGGTCCCCTGGTCTACGTCTCTCTCGCGCGACACTAATCCCTGTCCAGACTTTAGAGCCCTCGTGCGAGTAGACCGCCTGCGTCATGGGCTGCAACTGTGCCTTGCCTTCTGAATATTGACCGACCGCATAAGTCGCCGTCACGATACGCAACTGGCGACCTCAGAACCACGTGCCGTCAATTCGCGTCGATACAGTACACTACTCTATCGATGAGATACGTTAGGAGTCAGCGCTTAATCCTACCATGATGCTCGGCTGTTTCCAGGACTTTCGCACTCTTGTTTCTACCCATCTCGCTTGAACAACACCTTAAGAAACCCATTCCCGAGACATGCTCGCACGTTTGCGCTGCCCTTTGTCGTGCCTCTTCCGCCATGCTGAACCCCGCATCTCCTCCCTCACCGACCTCCTCAGGAAGGAAGAGACCGCATTCGTCAACCGATACATCCTCGATGCCTGCAGAGTCGCCGGCGCAGTCTCAGCAGCAGGCCGCCCGTGAAGCGCTCGCCCCCGCAAATCCGATATCTTCATCTCAGGCCTCCAATTCCTCATCATTCCGCAATGTATCCGCCTGTAACCGATGTCGTCTGCGCAAAAATCGCTGTGACCAGCGACTCCCCCGATGCCAGTCCTGCGAAAAAGCCGGCGTCCGATGCGTCGGCTACGACCCAATCACGAAACGCGAAATTCCCCGTAGCTACGTCTACTTTCTCGAGGCTCGCGTGGCATATCTAGAAAAGCTGTTGATGGACAATAAGATCGAGTACAAGGAGCCAGTTGCATTTGATGAAGAGGAGGCCGTGAAAGTGGAGGCGGGGCTTGATACTCCTCAGGCACCGACCACAGGCCCGGAGGCCTTGGTGTCTACAGCCGAAGGATCTACTGCCGATGGAGATGAGAAAGGAGTGAAAGGGGAGACAGACGGCTCGGTTGTGAGACACGAGAAGGATGCTTCGAGCGGACAGGAGCTGGACAAAACCCGGGATTCCAACAAAGAGGACAACTGGCGCATCCAAAATTTGGTATCAAACATAGGAATGGTATCAGTGCAAGGAACCTCTGATCCGCGATATCTGGGCTCCACCTCCGGGATCTCCTTCGCGCGTGTCGTCTTCGCTGCCGTTAAGAGTTCCGTGTCAGGGAACATTGCGGAGCGCGGGCCAATGCGCCCCAATGAGCGCCTGCCGCATAGTGCCACGGGGACTGCTGGTAGCACAATGCGTGATTCTTTTTTCGGCTTACAGACACGGCCGACCATGAAATGTGCGGCATTTCCGGACCGGGACCTGGCTGAAAGGCTGGTCAATCTTTACTTCGAACATGCAAACGCCCAGATACCCATTCTTCATCGGACCGACTTCATGGAGATGCTCGATCGGACATATGCGGTTGACGAGAAGAACCGCTCCCCACGAAGCCTTTACACTCTCAATATTGTATTTGCTATAGGTGCGGGTATCATCTTCGAGGATAAGCCATCAGGTGACGGGAAACGAGAAGTCCGAGACCATTCTCCATCCCCGAGTTTCAAAAGACCGCGACTGTCGAGCCACCAACATCAACCGGAAGAGTACCATGCATCTGCAATCATTCATCTGGAGTCTTTCCTTGGTAATACTGCCTCTGGAGACGGATCAGGTGCTCTGGAAGAATTGCAAGCTGTGCTACTTCTCGCTAGTTTCGCTCTTTTGCGACCTGTAGCACCTGGGTTATGGTATATCGTTGGCGTCGCGATGCGACTGGCCGTTGATCTTGGTTTGCATTACGAGGACGGCACAGAAATCGATGCACCCGGGGACGAGAGCATCAATCGTACTCAAGGCAAGAGTACCGATAAACCTAAGAAGCATGTGGATACTCGCGAACTAGGACGGCGCCATTGGGTGCGTGATCTTCGTCGCCGTCTTTGGTGGTGTGTATATAGTCTCGATCGTTTGGTCAGTTGCTGTGTCGGTCGCCCATTCGGTATCAGCGATCAAGCCATCAGCACCGAGTTCCCATCCGCGTTCGAAGATAAATATATCACTAAGTCTGGCATCGTGGTACCGCCCGAGGGTGCACCGAGTTATAAGCATGCAGCACATCACTATTTTAAACTCCGAGTTTTGCAATCTGAAATTCAAGACGTGCTTCAGCACCAACAAGCCCGCTTCCTCAGACAACGGTCGCCATATCCCGCCAGAAGACCCATTCGTGCAGATATTGTATCTCCGTTCCTGCAAAACTTCGACTCTTTTCACTCCTGGCGCAAAGACGTTCACAGGCGTTTGGCAGAATGGCAGCAAAGCGCGCCAACCCGCCGGGACACAGGCGTGCAGTTCTCCGTCGAGTTCCTTGAGCTGAATTATTGGCAGGCTGTTATCATGCTATATCAACAGAGTTTGACGGTGCCAGCAGAATTGGCAGATGAAATGATGCCTGCTGAAGATGTGAACAGTCCGTCGTTCTCCAATGTGGATGAAGTGGAGGACGAGGACGAAATTTACTACAAAGTCGCCGAGGCTGGGCAGAAGGTGATTCGGATCTATCGCCAAATGCATCGTGTGCGGTTGGTCAATTATACCTATCTGGCTACACACCATATTTTCATGGCTGGTAAGTTGTGTCGAACTGACGTTTAATGCGCACGTGCTAACAAATTTCAGGTATCTCTTTTCTCTATGCAATTTGGCACTCAGCTCTGGTTCGCAGTCGCTTAGTACGTACTTCACCATTACTTTTCTTCTACTATTTTTTTATTCCCAGTCTCTGATATTTAAAGACACTCGACGAGGTCGACTTCACCGTTCTTGCTGCTACCTCCGTTCTTGGGGACCTCATGCACAAATGTCCACCTGCAGAGGCATGTCGAGACGCCTTCGAGCGAATGAGCAAAGCCACAGTACAGATGTGTCTTTCGACCACTGGTTTCGGATCGCAAGTAGATCTCGGCCGGATCCAGGCAGAAGCAGCGCAACGACAAGCAGCTGCGCTTCACATTAACCAAACCAGAGCATACGCAGGCAACCAGGCTGATCCACGATCTCGCCATATTCAAGGCCCCATCCGTCGACAGGGCGCCGGCCCTATGCGTCAAGCACCTCGCCCATTGCCACGCTTCGACATGAATCTCGGTGACCTATTCAACGATCATGCCGGTGTCCCTGACCGGCCCAACAATGGGCCCAGGAAACCTGTGCAGTCTTACCCACCACCACCACCACCACCTCCTCGCGGGCCTCGACCCGACTACCCAGAACCCTCCTCATCCAATTACCCTCCCGACCGGACCTCTATTTGTCCCCATCCCCAGCGAACCCCTTCCCTAGAATACTACGCGTCTCCATACGACAATCCTGTCTCGCCTCAGACTCAACAGCAACCGCATCCACAGCAGCAGCAGTATTACTACGCCCACTCGCCTCAACAGAGCGCCTCACCTAACAGTGTCGGTGCCGGCAACAACCCAAGTCACCCTGCTGGTGCTCAATACCAACCAACTCACGACCACCCCACCTCTATCAGCCTTGATTTCCTCGACTTCGACCCCAGCAGTGCAGCCGATGGCCAAATTCCCGC